CTGTTCCACCCTCTGACTGCTGCAGGGGCGTGTCTTAGGTTTTTATATCAGAACACAGCCGCTGTGACGAAACTGTGGAGAAGACACGTCACTGTGGAGAGCCGTTAACCAATATGCAAATTAGCCTGCAGTACCACTGCTCTACCCATATGCGCAGCAAAAAGACGTTTTTAGACCAAATATTACAGATTTGAACAAATACACATAAAAACATCAAAATTAGCACAGAAACAGTACTATATAACAATTTAGACACATTCTAGACAGTTTATCAGCTAAAAAAAGTTAATTTTGGGGTAAGTTACTCTTTAACGATTGACCCCAGATGGAACATATACAAAAGGCATTTTTGCATCGTAAGGCCTAGCCCAGTCACAGTCGGCCTGGCCCTATTCTGCCCCGGCCCTGGTTGTGTTTGCTTTGAGCAGAGAGCCACCTCCATGTGGGCTGGGATCATCATATCAAAAATGAGTGAACCTCATGTCATTGTATTTGTGGCGCAACAATGAGCGATATTGAGATTGAAGGAAAAATACTGAAGACTGCACCATACCATCCAGCAGTATGATGCTGAGGAGGGCAAGACGACAGAGGGCAGTAAGCTAATGTTAGCTTCTTGTTGTTTGTTAGCTTGCTGCAGTTGTTGTGTAGTTGAACAATATATAGTTGAAAAATGGTTAGTCGTTGCAAATGATTCAAGCAAAGTAAATATCATCTGTGTAATGCCAGTCTTATTACAAATGGTCACTACAGCTAATCAGTCTTGGGAAGCACAAAAATAGGCATAATTTGGTCAGTTTTACAGGTGTTGAGCTAAAAGTTTGTGTGGTAGTAGCTGAGAGTGGCCAGGACAATAACATGAATGTGTTCAGGGACAGGATGGTGATTTTACAGAAAAAGTGATTTAATCACAGAGGTTGAATCCATTACAAAATGGAGTCTCACCAACATCAGGGTGGGCCCAAGCCACAACCAAACATAACAAACTAATCTTATTACCTATGCAAAGAAATGTTTTGCTGGTCCAATCCGCCTAGTTACCTTAACACTAATTTATATACATTAGATGCATACACACACAAAACAGCAGCTGAAACAAACTTACAGTTTTCAGACCCCCTCCTCACCTATTTACCTTTGCTTTGAAGGCCGTGGCGACCTGATCGGTTCTGACTGTCTGACGCAGGAGGAGGTGATTAAGACCAACGCCTGTGTGAAAGCTCTTACCTACTGTGACCTCCAGTACATCAGCCTCAAAGGGCTCCGCGAGGTGCTATGCCTCTATCCGGACTACGCCCAAAAGTTCCTCACCGAGATCCAGCACGACCTGACATACAACCTTCGAGAAGGCCACAACATTGAGGTACGGCAAAGAGGCTTTTGTGCAGAATGCTTTTAGGAAAGAGAAAAGCTAAATTATGGGTTTATTTAAATCTAACAAACAAGGCAGCATTTGGCAACACATGGAAACCAAATGTCCAAATTAACAGGAAAAACTAGGTGAAGATTTTGGAAAAAGTTATTTTTCCCTCTATGTGTGATTTAGTCTGAAAAAAATGGCTTCATTGGTTCAAATTTAAGCTTGTGTGTACAGTTCCTGTTTACACAGGGCCTTTGAGTTCTTTTATCTCCATTTATCTGAATGTCGTCATGAGGATTTGCTCAAATTTACATCCATACTTTCCATCTACCTCACAGAAATGACAGGATTTTCTCAGTTCAATGAAACAACCTGTGTGTTTTGTTTCCTAAAAAGTTTTTGTTGTTGTTGGATGTGTTCCTCATCATCAGCCTCAGCTGGTTTAAAGAACTAGCTGTTCCATCTAAACACTTGATTCTTTTTTATCCATCTCGTCCCCATTTAATAGACTTTTACAAGTCAGTGAAAAGGAGCTAAACAAAGCCTGTGTTGTACAATAATAGGAAATCATGCAATTATGATGTTATTATTAAACATTGCACAGGTGTCAATTAATTAGTGAATTTTGGACAGCGAAACTTGATCTTATTGGGTAAATATTTAAATTTTAAAGTGTAAAAGAACATCATCTGTGGAGGACCAAAACTGTCCTATTAGAAATAAAAGCTGAAATATATAAATAGACCAATAAATAAATAAAAACACTTAAAAAATACCAATAAATTAAAAAAGGAGAACTTTACCTCATGCTTTATAATTTAATTGACCTTCATATTTATTTTCCCCAGCTTAGTTCCAATAAATTATATATTTAAGCACATAATTTACATTTTGACTGTTTTTTTAATATAATTTTTTTACCTAGATACTTCTGTGTCGCTTAAATTATTACATTTAATTATTTTTTAAATATTTTTCCCCACGTCTTTTTTATTTCCATGTGTTGTTTTTACATTTCTCTGTCTCCTGTATTTACTTTACCTTGTGCATTTTAGCCTCATTATGCAAAGAAGGTGGGCGGGTCAATTGGGTCAGCTCCTCTCCTATTGGTCAACAGACAGGAAGAAACAGGATCCATGTGCATGTGCTAAAATATATATTTTACTGAAACTAATGTGGGAAAATACTGTAAATATGATGGTCAATTAAATTATAAAACATGAGGTAAAGGTCTCCTTTTTAATTTAATTGGTGCATTTTAAGTGTATTTGTTTATTTATTGGTCCATTTATATATTTCTGCATTTATTTCTAATTATGATGGTTTCGGTCCTCCATAATAATCACCCTTTGTTTTATTTTTTTTTTTTGCAATCGTTTGTGATACTGATATTACTATGTATTGATCGTAATAACAATTTTTTTCTAAATATCATTTCAAATTGACATGAAAATTCTCAGAAGCTAAGCAAAAAGTTTAAATTTTATTTTATCAAAGTCAGCCTTTTTTCTCAGAATTTTGACTTTGATATCAGAATTCTAAGAAAAATTATTTAATAAATAAATAAGTTTACATTGTGACCCTATGGGAGATGATTAGGGTCAAAAGCAAAAATAAATAAGTAATAAATAAAAAAATTCTCGAGTTCTGATTTGTTTTATTTTTCATATATTTTGTTGGGTAGAAAAAAGTGAAAACATTCATCTATTTTTTAAATGGGTACAGGGGTAATATGATCTGATAATGATCACTTACAGAGCCTTCGGTGTCTTGGCCATGCCTTATCTGTGACCTCCTCCTTTCCAAAACTTTTTCAATGCAATGACATTGCACTTGAGAGGGATTAACCATCTGCTCTGGGGATGCGGAGGAATCCATGACTTCTGCTTGAGAGGCAGCCAACAGATGCAGACATGAGCTGAGCACGAAGGCTGTAAACGGTTGGAGTTTACTGATGGAGCTCAGCTGCAGGCACATGAATAACCAGCTTATGTTAGGAGGAGTGGAATAAAAAGCAAAGTCACATTTTTCCCTGTGAGTAAACGTGTTAATTAGAACAACTATTTCACATCATGAAGGATGAAAAATATGTTCACACATTTTGGCTTCTTGGGTTTAAATATCACTTCATCTCTTAAGGGTACTCAGGAAATTAGTAGAAATACACAGATCCCATTTTAGAGGTACAGGAAGTTCACGCCTAAGCTTCCATAGGCTTCAGTTTTATCTTAGCCCAGAATCAGTGATTAAACTCGACATTTCTTCTGCATGAAAGCTATAGAAACAAACAAACAAAGTTCACGTGTCGAAGCCTTCATCCTCTCATGGTTCAAGTATTTTTAGGGTATGATTCAGTTTTCAGCAACACTTCGAGGCTTATTTTTCAGTCTTTCTGTCTCCTAAGTTTGCTGTCAGGAAGTGCAAGACACTGGTGTGTAGTTACCATGGTAACACACTTTTCTCTTTTTTTAACTCCGCTTCTCCTCCCCCTTCCTTATACAGTTTTCTTAGATTATTACAGAAATATTGGAATTTTGTGCAGTTGTTTCATTGGCACCTTTCAGAATTTCATCAGAAATGTTTGAGTCGATAAATACTGCATTAAAAAGTTTCCAGTCATCCTCTGCAACAACATTTCCTCAAGTAGTCCATGAAAAAAATCATACGTGAGATATTCAGTTACAAATTCATAAATTTGGTCAGCCGGGAAGACTGCTGTAACTCCGTGTTTTGGCTAGTTTATTTCAAGCAATGATTGTAATGTACATGTATTGCCTGCAGCTGTTGTTTTAGGTCTGCTGTCAAACGTTAGGAGCCAGTTTTTCTGAGTTGTGAGATGAGGACCTAAATTGAGGCTTGCAGGTGGGGAGCAGGAGAGGTCTTTAATAAAAAATAAAAACTGCAGACCAGGTGAGCAGCTCGGCAAGAATCTCCCAAGTTAAAATACGGCCTGAAAGAACAAGAGCAAACGTGACACAAACCCAAACCAATTACATTTAAATCTGCTTCAGCCACTTAATTACAAATCAAATGGATTCAGATTTGCTTTATTTTAATTTGATACAATACAACAGTACATATAATGTAAAACAATATGATGCATTGTACTGTACAGGACCAATACATGGAATACAATACAAACTACAAGCAATAAAACGAGCACAGATCCACTGAGAAACTTGCTGTTTTAACAATATTTAATTTAAAAACTGTAATTTTGTACAAGTTAAGAAGGGCATGGAAATTTCTCATTTTTATTTTGGAAAAAAATATCGAACTGTGACATTAAAATATCGAACTGTATATTGTCGCATATATTATAATGTACACACACTACAATGCCTGGGTTCACGATACGATACAATGAGACAATATATTATTAGATGATACAAATGATAATACATTATGATGCCATATGATACAATGATATACAATGCAACAATATGCAATGCGATACAATGATACAGTATATGATGCAGTGTTATACGATACAGTACAATAATATGTGATATGACACAACAGTACGTGGTATAATACAATGATGCATGATGAAATGATATACAATATAGTACGAGGATATACAGTGATATCCGATATGACACAATAATAAATGTTACGATGCAATGACATACAATATGATACATTACAATTATATACAATATGCATTGATACTTGATAAGATGCAATGTTATACGATATAATGCAGTGTTAATAAAATCCAATGATGGAATACAAAATACAGAAATGCAATGATATATTATATATCACAATATGTGACCCATCACATCGAAACAAGGATTAAGTGTAAAAGTGGGGTATGGAGAAATAGGCAAATATAGTGTTTTGATTAAAACATTTGCAAAAATTGCATTTTGTCAAAACATAATGAATAAATGCTTTATCATGTATCATTTGAATGAACTGTCTGAAATATAATCATAAAACAAAAATTTTAAGCACTTTTTTGAGCAGCAGCAACAAAAAATCTGATTTTGAGGAAAAACGCATTAAATTTTGAGATTTTCCCTGTGAGGTAGCAATGTTTTTGTTTCTTTTCAGCTGGGAAATCTCAATATTCAAATATAATTTGAGGTTTCCTTTTTATAAGGACAACAAAAATTACTCAATAAAATGACATAAAACTAGGATTCAGACCAAATATTTATGTATTATTGTACCCAACAAGACTGTATTGTATATGACCCAATGCAATTTGATACAAATGATATTACTTTACATTTAAAGTAGAGTATTTGGATTTGGAACAGAGTTATGACTACCAAGACTGAGGTGTGAAACAAGTCAAAACATGGAAATATGGGACTCGAGCTAGAGTACAGAAATAATGACCAAAACCTTTTAGACGAAGAAACTCTCATTCAGCATACTCAAACATTAGGAAGAACTGAAATAACATCAGAGTTGTGCGTTTTTACATTGAATCTCATCCAAGAACAGAAATGGCTTGCATTTGACTGAATGCAAATGACCCTAAACATTAAAAAATTGAGTTAAATTTGTGAACATGAAGCTGAGGCTGCAACCAGCAGCCAGGTGGAGGTTATAAACTGGACTGTTTTCTGCCCAGATGCTCCTTCCACTTGTTACCCCGTCTTTGTGCCAGCTGAGCCGCAATTTAGCTTCATATCAACAATTTCAGATCAGTCTTCTGGTTTAATCAGAGGGCAGGAGGCAATACTGTAAGTGTTCATAACTCCCACCATAATAAAAGTCTTACATTTGCCTATCACTTAAACATAAGCAATAATGTTTTTGCCTGTGTCTCTTCTCTGGAAATAATTATAGATGTTTGCCTACGACTGAGCAACGTTTAAGGTCAGACATGTTCAAAATAGCTAAATGACTAAAACTCCATTAATGATGCAGATATTATGCTAAAAATAGACCATTTCGTAGTTACAAATGAGCAAAGCTGCCAGGTGACTCGTCAATCAATATGAATGCTGAGGTTACTATGGAAACACCATTGGAATTGAAAACCA